GGACCAATAAGCAGCATCATGATAAATGAAGAAAAGATTGAAGTTGTCAAAGACTTCATATTACTTGGTTCTAATCAACACCAATGGATGCAGCTGTCAAGATATCACATATCATATAGCATTGGACAAATCTGATGCAAATGACCTATTTTAAGTGCTGAGGAGCAAGGGTGTTCCTTGAAGACTAAGGTGCACTTCACACAAGCCATGGTATTTTGAATTACCTCATATGTATGTGAGAGCTGGACAATGAAAAAGGAAGTTTCAATGCTGCTTATTCCTCAAAGATGTGTTCTCAGTCTGTATCCTGCTCCCTTGTTTATACCCCTTTATCTTTCTTTTTTCTGTGGACTGTGATGGTCTGTTGTCTCTAAGATATTGTGAAGTTGTTGCATTTAGATCTGTGTTAACTGCTTGTGAAGAGCAGCTAAGGGTGAGTCAGTCTCCTTTTGGTGGTCATTGGCCAGTTGGTGGAGAAGGAAGTGGTGGCTCTTACTCAATTATTGGAGGTGCAGAAGGTGTGGGTGTGGTTGCATCATATGGGCACAATTGCTGTCTCCCACTCAGTTAAACTAAAACAATGATGAAAAACTATCAAAAAAGTAAAAACAAAAGGATAAAAAACTCACCACAGAAACACACAGGAACAATCATCAAAAAGAGTAAAGAAAAAAACTGCAATATTTGGGGAGAGGGTAATAAGAGAAAAGAAGTGGAGTAGGAAAATAATGAAGAAAAAAATTGGGAAAAAAATGTTAAAAGAAAAAAAAAAAAGAAATGGATTAACCACGAGAAAGAAAAAAAAAAATGTGAATCAAGAACAGGGAAGAGAGTAAAAGCTGAAAACTAACATCTGGGAAGGGAAGAGTAAAGAATAATAATAAAAAGGATGAAAATAAAAAGACTAATAATAATAGTAATAATTTTAAAACAGACCAAAACAAGCAAGCTGAAAAAAAGGGGTGGGGGGATCCGGCAGGGGGGGTAGGGCGTCCAGGCTCCATCAGAGCACACAGACTGGGATGGAATTCCTGATGGCCCAGAAGGTGGGTGGGAGTGAGGGATGGCCACACCTCCATTCACCAAGAGGGAGTGGGGTATGACAGTAACAAGGGGAATACTGCGTCTTTCCAGTCATTCACGTCCGGAATGTCTTTGCACTTCCCAGCAAGTGGAGCCTATTCTTAGGTCCTTGGAATCTGAGAAAAGGCTGTCACTTTAAATATCCAAAATGGTGGAAATGTTTGTAAACAGTCAAAATGGCTGCACCCTCTGACAGGCAAAAGTCCACAGCTCACTCCCTCTCCCTTTTCACTGTTTCCCCTTTATTTACCAGCCACCAGTGCCGTCCTGTGCAGCCCCCGGATAGCAGGGCTGAGTTTTAGGTTAATTCTTAGGTCCTTACATCACTTGGCAATATCCAAGCTGCCCATGCCATCAGCATCTCGGACAGACCGCAGCTCAGTATGTCTCCTTTTTTGGGGTTTTCATGCAGGTTCTTTTAAGAGTCGGAGTTTAGTCCACTTCTGTATTCTTCCTTTCAAAGCTCAGAGCTACAGGATTATCTTCTGTACCTGTGTTGTCTGGTTCCCCTTTTCTTTGTTGAAGAAGGTCTGTGTAGTTTGTTGACCTATTCACCATATTATCGGAACCCCTCCTAACTCTTGACTTTTTAAGCAGTAATTTCCCTCTCTAAGTACAACTAATTAATTATACTGTCACAAGTGCAGACTGATGAATATTAAATCAATATATTTGACCTCTGAATAATAGCACCAATGAGATATTCTGCATTCTCCTCTAAGTCAAGCTTTGCACTAATAAACTGATGTTTTATTCTCCCTTAAATGGTCCTTTTCCTATTTTCATCCTTCCTCCTGAAACGCTAAGGTTCCTGGACCTTCTGGACCAGTGGATCCCAACCACGACTATTTTGTTCCCTAGCAGACAATTGGCAATGCCTTGACACATTTATTTTTGGTATAATTGAGGGTTAGAGTGCTGACATTTAGTGGAAGAAGCCAGTGGTGTTGTTAAATGTCCTACAATGCACAGGGCAGTCACCCACAACTGAATCAATAGTGTCAATAGTGCTAAAGGTTGAGAAACCTTGGTCTACACTGTTGAGGGATATTATTAAAAACATTGTCTAAAACATCCCAGACATTTCCTATTTTGTGATGATAGCTCTGGGGGCATAGTGCTTAAGGCATATGACTGTTAACCAGAAGGCTGGTGGTTCAAACCCACCCACCAGCCACTCCTTGGAAGGAAGATTGAGCAATCTACTTCCATAGTGATACCACGTCAGAAACCCAAGGAGGGGCCATTATGAGTTGGATACAACTTGTAGGTATTGAGTTGGGTTTGAAAATATTATCTAAAATAAATGTCACAATCTTTCTCCATTATTTTCCGCTATTTCATTTTTTTAATAGCAGTTTCCACAATGAAAATGTTTGTTTTTTCCTCCCCCTCTGGAATGTAAACTATTTAGAGAAACGTATGCTGTGTGAGAAGAAGAAAGTTTTTTTCTTCACAACTTTATCCCCAGCACTTAAAACATAGCAGATTCTCCATAAACAAATCTTTTATAAATTGAATGTATCAATAAATCTCCTGGGATCATAAGATTGAAAGATACAGAAAATAAAGCTGATAGATGTTCTCCCTACGCTACTGAAACGTTTACCAATACACTGCTTTTTCCCCAATGCTAATAGGAAGCAGTTGCAATGATTAATGCATTTTAGATAACAAGTCTTACAGGGTAAATTCAGAAGTCCTGATTTTGTTCTAATAAATCATTCAATAGAAAAGGACAGAGAGCAGCAGGACATCCTCCTCAGTTACCTGTTTCTAATACAGTTATGAAAGGAGCTTGTTACTGGAGAAGACTAGGAAGGGATCTAAAATACCTTTATGAATATTCATGGAAGATTTTTGACAAAACCTGGAGCTCTGCCTGACTTATGTCATGAGGAATGCCATGTGTTCAGCACAATCTAAGATACCTCTAACCAAATGGTCTTTGTCTTTGCTGTACATGACTTTCTAAAACTGAATTGTGGTTATAATAGCACAACTAAATAAATGTACTTAAACCAATGAATTACAGCAATAGGCCAATTTCATAGTATGTAAATTATACCTCAATAAAGCTATTAGAATAAAGTTTCAGAAATTTTTCCATAGAATTATTTATGGTAAATCGAAAACATTTACTTTTTTTTTTTCTTAACAACAGTAAAACATACATCAATATGACTCTGCTTTCCATTCAGGATTGTAATCTTTTTATGTTTGTTTGTCTTTTTAAAATATGTCTCTGATCTTCTCCTCAGTTTGTACATAGTAGATAATAAAAACACATGCAATCGAATTTAATGGAATCAGAGGGAGTTGAAGTCATATAGAACAAATATTATCTCACTAACAAATTTTAATTTTTCAGTAAATTGTTTCTTTCTTCATTTTAAAATTTTCTTTACACCCTAAAAGTCCCTAGTTCCTTTCATGGTTCTTTTAATATTCATCACTGTTTTATCAACTGTTTTCATTTTTGTTACCCTCAAATGAAGACACTGATCTTGCTTTGAGTGCAAGCAATTTACTTGAAGAAGCAAGAAATACGAATGAGATAGAGAAGTGACACAGGAAAGGGTATGCATCCAATAAAGCTTGAATTAAGTCAACTACACACAATGAGTGAGAAGAGTTTTCATCTTGTGGGGAAATTTTGGAAAATGTGGAAAATCCACACCTCAGAATTACCCCATGTAGTGGTATATACCACAGCTGTCAATGAAGGACTACCCCTGGAAGTACATAATTCCTGGTAACTTCTGCCACCATGCATTGAGCAAAGTTGATTCCAGCTGGTGATTTCCATTGGTAGTCAGTCTAGTCTGCAATAGAAATCATGAGTGGACCCTAGAAAATATGGGAGGAGCATTGGCAGCACCTACTACTCCAACCTTCACCGGGCAAACAATTGCACCAGTATTCTTCTCAAAAGTGAATTTCGGAATGCATTCCACTAATGTGTAACTTCCTTTCTGATGACACCTCCAGAGAGATTCAGAAATTTAAACCATGTGAGAGAACAACTCTTATTTCACTGTATTCATTATTACATGATTTAGGATCCTGGGTGAGGGGTAATATCTGAAAACTGCAGTGAAGAGATATGAAGGTAAAATCAAATAATGAAAGATGAAAGGAAAAAGAAGAAGGAAGGGAAGAAAGAAAAGAAACAAAAAAGGGCCACAAATAATGAATAAATGTCTCACATTGTCCCAGGCAGTATATTGCTATGAATAATCTGAAAAAAAAAAAAAAAATCAGTCACATCTAGATTCCCACTCTGGAAGTTGAGAACCACATCATTGTTCTTATGCAAAGTAGAATAGCAAAGTTTAGAGTATGAGCTCAGTGATAGATTGTCAGGTTTGAATCCATCTCAGTCTCCAACTCTTCCCTGAAAAAAATGGGGTGAATGAGAATATATCCCAAAGAAATGTCATAGTTAAATGAAATCACATACATAAAGTAATGATCACAGTCCAGATATGACAAGCACTGGGTTATGATTATTGGATGATATTAATTTTATTTCTTTCCAGTAAAAACACATGCATAATGAAATTAAGGTAAAAAGTATAAATGTCTGAGAAATTAATCTTTGGGGAAACCATGTCTGCACTGACATGATAAATGTTGCAAACCTAAGGTAGGACTATTCAGGAGTGGCCAAAAGAAGGCTGACCAAAGGAAGAACTTTATGAACAGCATATGAAAAAGGAGAATCAAAAAGAAATACTGAGGAAAGAGTTAAGAGAAAATGGTGCAATAACAAGTAAAAAGTAAAGTAATAAGTGCTTTGGGAATAGAAGAAATGACGCATGTCTTTTGGGGAAGAAAACTAATCTGGATATTTAGATTCATGACATCTGGCTTTGGAGACCATGAGACCCATTTTGTCCTGAGACTAGTGACCATTATGGACAAGAGGTTGCTCTACTGAGGAGTCTTCCCAGGGCTTGCATCACATCCTTGTTCCTTAGGGTGTAAATGAAAGGGTTCAGCATGGGTGTGACCACAGTGTACAGCACTGAGGCAATAGAGATTCTCTGAGAAGAATGGGTCAAAGCAGAACTGAGGTAGACCCCAAAGCCTGTCCCATAAAACAAGAAGACCACAGACAGGTGAGACACACAGGTGGAAAATGCCTTATACTTGCCCCCAGCAGAGGATATTCTCATTAAGGAAGAGATAATCTGAGAGTAAGAAAAGAGGATTCCACTGAGGGGCAACGCAGCCAGCAGGGTAGCCGCCACATATAAGACGATGCTATTGATGAGGATGTCAGAGCAGGCTATTTTGATAATCAAAACCAATTCACAGAAGAAATGTGGAATTTCTGTGCCTATGCAAAAAGTAAGCCGCATCATCAGTAGAGTGTGAAGCAAGGGTGCCAAGAACATGATGACCCAAGACATCAGAACCAGCAAGCCACAGAGTCTAGGGTTCATGATGATTGTGTAGTGCAGAGGGTGGCAAATGGCCACAAACCGGTCATAGGCCATCACAGCCAGCAGAAAATTATCCATTCCAGAAAAAGTCATCAAGAAATACATCTGCGTAAGACATCCTATATACGAAATGTCTTTGCTCTGCGTCTGAATATTCACCAGGATCTTTGGGACTGTGGTCATAATAAAACAGATGTCAACAAAGGACAGGTTAGAGAGGAAGAAGTACATGGGAGTGTGGAGGTGAGAGTCAAAGATAATGGCCAGGATGATGAGCAGGTTCCCGAGCACAGCAGTCAAGTACATGGACAGGAAGAGTCCAAAGAAGAGGGGTTGAAATTCAGGATCCTCTGAGAGGCCCAGCAGGAGGAATTCTGAAATGTTTGTTTGGTTTTCTGATTCCATATAGCTAGTGTGTAGGCTGGAGAGAAAGGTGAAAGCAATGTTCAGTGAATAGCCAACTGGTATGCTAGCTAGTCATCACCTTTCCAATACCACTTGTGTTCATTGTTGAGTACTTCCAATGACAGTGACTCAGTCACAGGTAACCCATTTCCATTTTAAATGTATATTATGATTTATACTCTAGCAGAAATCTCTCTTTTTGTAGCTTCCCTTCACGGACTCTAATTCTCCTCTTTGAATCTATGCACATAAACCATTTTTTTCTTTGACATCTCCCTTCCAAGCTAATTGGAAACATGTCATGTGAACTGGTTAGTATGTTCTCTCTGCTGATAATCTCCAAACTTACTTCATTCTGGTACTTTTATGTTAATGAGTAAAGGTCACCTGAGTTGAAAATCCATGTCTTAAATGTGACCTGGCTCTTCTTATTGATTAGATATTAACTATTATTTTTATTATTTATGAATGTAATAGTATTTTCCTCTGTTGTTCATATCTTTTGTGCACATTTCTTTGTCTTCCTGAGACATTAGCTCTTGGTGATTTATTTTTTTTCTTTTTTAAAAATTTTGTCATTGCCATTACCTTATTTGTGAGGTTTAGAAATGGCTTTGTGAACAGAAAGATCTCAATTAATAATTGCTATCATTATTATTATTAATCTGTTCCCTTTATGACAATTGTTTTGCAGATATAATTTTCCCAAGCTTCAGTATTAAGCTGTGATTTCAAAACTGGATGTTTGAATTATATTGCCTGAAATAGGAATTTGGTTCTACCAATTTACCACCTGTGTGACCTTGAGAAAATTACTTAATCTCTCTGAGCTGCATATATCCCATCTCTCCAGTGGGAGTGTTGTTGTTGTTGTTGTTATGTGCTACTGAGTCAGACCCTACTCATAGCTATCCCTCCTTGGGTTGCTGAGGCAGTGTCACTATGGAAGTAGATTGCCCAACCTTCCTTCCAAGGAGTGGTTGGTGGGTTTGAACCGCCAGCCTTCTGGTTAGCAGTCAAGTGCCTTAGGCACTATGCTACCAGAGCTCCTTAAATATCATCTGCATAATAAAGCTGATGAGTGAATTAAATGAGATGATACATGTACTTTTTCTAATGTAGGGCCTGTGACATGCAGTGGGCACTTGATAAGTGTGAGCTTCTGTTTTTATCACAGCAATAAACCTGTCTTGCATGTCTATCATTTCTCAGTATCCATCTTGAATTAGGGGAGCAATCAAAGATGGAATTGTCATCGTTATAAACACATCAGGTGTGTTACCTCTTTTGACATCCATGCAGCACTTCTAATTACTGAAGATCCTTACAGCTGCTTTCAGAGACCACCTGCCAGATGGATTCTTTCAAGAAGTAGAAAAGGCATGTGGACATGTAGATAAGAGGAGAAAATAAAAGCACACAAACATTAATATCAAACACAAGACATGTGTGAGTGCATGCTCAAGTGTACACACTCTTGATTGAGGGTGTGTTGTATTAAAATCAGTAAAATTAATTACTGATTAACAACAACAACAACAAAATTAATTACAAGGAATATGATGGATAGTTAGATTTAAAATATTAAAAGCTTCTATTTGTTGTTGTTATGTGCCGTCGAGTCGGACCCGACTCATAGCGACCCCTCCTTGGGTTTCCAAGACAGTATTACTACAGAAGTAGATTGCCCCATCTTCCTTCCGAGGAGAGGCTGGTGGGCTTGAACCACCAGCCTTCTGGTTAGCAGTCAAGTGCCTTAGGCACTATGCTACCAGAGCTCAGTACATCATACTAAGTAGTAAGTAAAACTTATGTACATACTAAGTAAAACTTATGATTTGAAAATAAGTATTTTCATTTTCCATTAAAAAAAAGTATTTTCCATGCATAAAGAATGATAATTAATTAAAAAGAGGAAAATATCTTTGAGGGCATATAATTTAGTCTGGGGAGGTGTACAGAGAAGGATTCTTTGAAATAGGATTATTTCAGCTGAGAGAAGAAGAATGGGCAGTTGTCAGTCAGAGGAAATAAGGAAAGGACAAACATAATAGACTGAGAGAACATAAGTCTTGGTTGTCCTGTGAGCAGTGAGCTTCTTAATGGAAGGGATGTGAGAGGTCAGTGAGATGGAAAGCAGAGAATGAGAGATAGAGAGGACAGGGTTGTGGGGCTCACAAACGGAGCATCTAGAACTATTCCTTGATGTGTGTCTCACATGATTCATTTTATGTTGACTTGTGAGTCAGAGTTTGAGATTTTGTTTCTCATCACTGCCTTAGCCCAATACCAAATGAGTGTTTTAAAACCACAGCCAACAGGATAATCTACATTCAAATACTAAAATACTTGTGCTAAATTCACCAGTCATTGCTCAGAAGGAAGGTTGGGCAATCTACTTCTATAGTGATACTGCCTCGGAAACCAAAGGAGGGGTTGCTGTGAGTCGGTTCAGACTCGATGGCACGTAACAATAACAACAACAAATTCATGTATAAACCAAAGCAATCTAGTCCCATGTTTGTCATTTTCCTGAAAATTTAAGATGAGAAAGAAATAAGTCTAAATACTAAAACTTCATAAATAATTATACTATTTGCAGATGATACTGTAGCTAGGGAGAAACACCACACACAAAAGAATAGATTTTGTAAGGATTGTCAATAATTTAAGGAGCTCTGGTGGCCCGGTATCTAAGGCATTTAACGGCTAGCCAGAAGGTTAATGGTTCAAACCCACCTACCACTCCATGGAAGGAAGATGGGGCAATCTACTTCCATGAAGATTTACCCCCTTGTCCATTCCTTAAAAAGTTGGAAATAAAAATTCCATTTAAGCCAACAATCCCATTACTAGGTATATAGCCTAAAGAAGTGAGAGCCAGAACACAAATAAATGTATACACACCCATGTTCATCACAGCACTACCCACAATAGCAAAGAGATGGAAACAACCTAAATGTACATGAAAAGAGAAATGGATAACCAAACTATGCTATATACACACAATGGAATACTATTAAACACTAAACAATAATGTAGAATTTGAAAAACACCAAATAACATGGATGAACTTGGAGGACATTATGCTGAATGAAAAAAGTCAATCACAGAAGGACAAATATTGTATTAGTCCACTATTGTAAAAAGCCAAAGGAAGGTTTATATGTAGAAGGGGACTCTCTTTATTTGTTACCAGAGAAGTGGGGGGTATTCCTAGACAGATTGGGGGAAAAAAGAAAGAAAAAAAAAA